CTTCCACAGCACACTGGCCAAAGTGATCCCTGAGTAGCGTAACTTAGTTCTTCCACAGCACACTGGCCAAAGTGATCCCTGAGTAGCGCAACGTAGCTCTTCCACAGCACACTGGCCAAAGTGATCCCTGAGTAGCGCAACGTAGCTCTTCCACAGCACACTGGCCAAAGTGATCCCTGAGTAGCGCAACTTAGCTCTTCCACAGCACACTGGCCAAAGTGATCCCTGAGTAGCGCAACTTAGCTCTTCCACAGCACACTGGCCAAAGTGATCCCTGAGTAGCGCAACGTAGCTCTTCCACAGCACATTTACCGAAGTGATCCCAGGATAGTTGTAGAGCTGTAATGTACTTATCAAGCCGTTCTTTTTTTTTTTTCGGTGGCGGCTGTTGCCGTTGGCGCGGGCGAAGCTGCTGGCAGAGCACTTCACAACTTGCGTGTGGATGCTCAGATTTTTCCCCACCCGTAGGACTGTGGGGTTGTTAGATTTTTAGAACTTTGGACTTCAGCACGCCCGGTAGCCCAACTTAGCTCTTCCACAACACACTGGCCAAAGTGGTCCCGGAGTAGCGCAACTTAGCTCTTCCATAGCACATTGGCCAAAGTGGCACAGCACACTCACCAAAGTGGTCCCTGAGTAGCCCAAAGTAGCTCTTCCACAGCACACTGGCCAAAGTGGTCCCTGAATAGCCCAACTTGGATATTCCACCGCACACTCACCAAAGTGGTCCCTAAGTAGCCCAACTTAGATCTTCCATAGCACACTGGCCAAAGTGGTCCCTGAGTAGCGCAACTTAGCTCTTCCACAGCATACTGGCCAAAGTGGTCCCTGAATAGCCCAACTTGGATATTCCACCGCACACTGGCTAAAGTGGTCCCTAAGTAGCGCAACTTAGCTCTTCCACAGCACACTGGCCAAAGAGGTCCCTGACTAGTGCAACTTAGCTTTTCCACAGCACACTGGCCAAAGTGGTCCCTGAGTAGCCCAACTTAGCTCTTCCACAGCACACTCACCAAAGTGGTCCCTGAGTAGCCCAACTTAGATCTTCCATAGCACACTGGCCAAAGTGGTCCCTGAGTAGCGCAATTTAGCTTTTCCACAGCACACTGGCCAAAGTGGTCCCTGAGTAGCGCAACTTAGCTCTTCCACAGCACACTGGCCAAAGTG